GCTTCTTAGTAAAAATACGTTCTACAATTAATATTTTTCTACAATTAATATTTAGAATTTTTTAATACCGTATTTTCTCATGTTGATAAAAATAAGAAAATACAGTATTAAAATCTGATAAAAAATTCTGAAAAAATTCTCAAAACTTTATGAGAAGAAAATAAATAATTTTTGTCTCTTGCAGTTTTTGTGTAAAGTTGATGGTATTTGAGTAAAAAATTATTTAAGACTAATATTTTGCAATTTTTAGTAATTAATATCTTGTTAACTATTACGAAAATGGCAAAATGGTAGAGGACTTTTCGACTCAGTTTAATCCGCTCTATGAGTACAATAGTGATTGGCAACAAAGATCGGGATACCCTGTACAAGATACGCCGAGCGGCCGAGAAGATACATTTTCGGTTTTCGGTCGCTTGTAACAAGCGACTAGCAGAGAAAGCGAGACAGCGAGATAGAGCGGCTCGAGGAGCAGCCGTCCTTTTCGCTCTAATACCCGCATGTGTTTACGATTTACTGGTAGAGCGAAAAGGACGGGCGCTGCCTCTCACTGCCTCGCTCGCTCTCGCGGCCGACTCGATGCCGGTAGGTGGGGGGAAAAGTGGTGGGGCTGGATTCCGTGTTGCCGGGGAGCCAAATGTGCATCACTGTCCCAAAGGCAGATTTTTACAGACAATTTAAAATACATTTTTTTTTTCGTCAGAACTCTCGCTTAAAAATTAGCATACACCTAAGGCTTTTCTTTGTGTACGAAACTGACCTCTTCCTAATGACTTTGTTAGAATGTCCGCTACTTGTTCATTTGTATTAATATAAGCAACTGTTATAGCATTTTCTCTGATTTTTTCTTTTACAAAGTGATGTTTAATGTCCACGTGTTTTAAACGTTTATGGAATTCTGGATTTTTACTTACTCGAATTGCGGACTGATTATCCTCGTACAATTTAACACAAACAAAGCCTTCCTGAATATTAAAATCTTTATATAAAAATCTGAGCCAACATGCTTCGCTCGCCACTAAACTCATCGCCATATATTCTGCTTCCGTAGAAGATAGTGCTACTGTGGGTTGTTTTCCACTAACCCATGAGACAGAACAACTTAAGATTTTGAAAACATAACCTGTAGATCGACGGTCAATACTATCTCCTGCCCAATCGGAATCTACAAATCCTATGATACGGTCATTTTCGCTTTCGTTATGTCTATAAACTAAACTTAAGTTTACGGTGCCTTTTTAATATATCTCAGAACACGTTTTAATGCTCGCCATAGCTCTTCACTCGCACATGACTGATACCTACTCAAAATGCTTATTGCGTTACAAAGGTCTGGTCTTGTACATAGCATTACATACATTAAAGTGCTAATCAACTTTCTACCGATGCTCTAACTCTTCAGATTCAGACTCTACTCTTTTTAGGGTTTCATGTTTAAAATTTACTTCCATTGGTGTTGATATTGCATTACAGTCTTCCATATTATATTTTGCAATAATATTCTCTAAGTATTTAGACTGATTCAGTATAATTTCACCCTTTTTAACATTTTGTTCGATAACTATTCCTAGAAAATGTTTTACGTTACCAAAATCTTTCATTTTAAAATGACTATTTAAGACACCTTTTATTTTTACTACACCTATCTTATCCGTTCCAGCTAACAATAGATCATCTACGTACAAAAGCAAAAAAACCTTGCCTGACTTTGTTGTATTTACATATAAACAATAGTCGTATTCTAATCTAACAAATCCTTGTTCAATCATTACTTCGTGAAATCTATTGTTCCAGCCTTTTGGAGATTCTTTTAAACCATACAAGGTCTTCTTCAGTTTGCATATTTCGTTTTCTTTTAAGTTATAACCCTGTGGCATTGACATATATACATCGCTATCTACCCTACCATGTAAAAAGGCGTTACATACATCCATTTGTACTACGGGTATTTTTAAATAATTGCAAATCGCTAAAAAAACTCGAACAGTTGGTAACTTTGCTACAGGACTGTAACAATCCGAAAAGGAAGCATTTTTCTGTTTAAAACCTCTCGCTACTAACCTTGCTTTATACTGTATAACTTCACCTTTCTCATTTTTCTTTTTCTTGAAGACCCACTGTTCGACTTCTTGCGAATTCTCATTAGTCACATCGTGTGACGCTAGGAGCGAGCGGTGTTAGAACAGATGATTTGGGCGCATTTTCATGTAGCGTACCGGCACGACGCTAGGCGGAGCGGTTGTTGCGTTAGAGAGACAGAGAGATACGGGAGAAGAAACATGATGTAAGCACGGCACCACATCGGAAGGAACGAGTTACGAAAATAAAGAGCATTCTGGTTACAAGTCAACTCTGCTTAACTCACTCACACATATCCTGATACATCAGTGAACATTTTGGTCCTTCGAGCCGGATAACAACGACAACGAGGTGAGCGGAGCCTTAAATACCAGACATCGAATTCTCGAGAAGTTTTAGCACGTTGCTTCGACAACGACCACAGCTAAAAGGGAAAGACAACACTGACTTTCGGCGAGTACAAATCACTGCACCGAAGATTCATTCAACGGGGACATTCTCTACCTACATCCGTCGACGCTCGACCCCAAGAGCTGAGGAATACGCTGAAAAGGGAAATAGTCGCCATTATTGAATTCATCTTCGACAAGACGCCACACGACGCCATTGCTGGTAACGCCACAGCGCAGACGCCACACGACGCCATTCCCGTAAACGCCAACGCGCAGACGCCACACGACGCAGCTGCCACAGCGTTACACATCGATTATATAGACAATCGATCTTATCGACAATCATCTCCTGTACACTGGTAGGTTAGATTAAGCATAAAGACAATGGAAGTGATAGAGGAATTAAAACGTCAACGAACGACGCTTAAGAGTCGCGCGACTAGGTTCAAGACATTCGTAGAGAATTACGCGGACAGTGTCGAAAATCGCATAGCATTAGAATCGAGGTTAGAGAAATATAACGAATTGTGGTATGAGTATCACGCGTTGCAAACGAAGATTGATGCGATTTTGCCCAAGCCAGACATCGCAGAGCGTGAGAGATTCGAGGAAGTCTTTTTTGCGGTGCAAGCGGCAGCACGATCGAAATTAGGACAATACGGAATCAATAGAATAGAGTCGCATGTTAACCGTCAAGCAGAAAACGCGATTCAAAATGCACCAAACGCCATTAACCATCAAACGCTAATACGACTGCCCGTGATAACTCTGCCGAACTTCAACGGAAGCTACGAACAATGGCAACAATTTTACGATACATTCAAAGCACTCGTTCATGGCAATCCTAACCTAAACGACGTTCAAAGGTTTTACTATCTAAAATCTGCACTGTCAGGTTCCGCCGCACAGGTAGTCCAATCGCTACAAACAACAAATGAGAACTACAACATAGCTTTAGAATTATTGACAAAAAGTTTTCCAATTTGCGTTTAACTATCCATCATCCCATTCACGAGCTATTCAATACACCTCCAATTCTGAAAGAGTCGGCAGAGTTATTGCGAGCGTTATTGGATAACTTTCAAAAGCACTTGCGAGTATTACAACAGCTGAAAGAACCCGTAGATAAGTGGGATACTCTCATAATTTATTTGATGACTAGTAAATTGGATCCCGTGACAAAGAAAGAGTGGGAACTGAAGGTTGTCCAGGAAAAATTGTCTACAACTAAGCAATTAGTCGAATTTATTAATACACGATGCGAATTTCTGGAAGCACTTCACCCAGCACAGGTAAAGGATATCCTTGTAAAATCGACATAAAAAACAAATGTAAACAAGAGTCGAAATACTACGGTAGCACATGTAACGACGAATGAAACAGGTGAGTGCCCTCTTTGTAAACAGATGCATCGACTGCATTCTTGTAAAATTTTCAAGGATTTAACAGTAGAGTCTCGACGGGCTGAAACCAAACGGCTTAACTTGTGCTATAATTGTCTAGGTTCAAACCACTTGCTACAGAAATGCACGTCACGAAACTGCAGACATTGCTCAAAGAGGCATCACTTTCTGCTTCACACGAACGAGCGATCTAACAATGATGCTCAAGGCGCAGCATCGTCCAACAATGCATCAACAAGTTCAAAGGACACTAATGCTAACATTCAAGCATGCGAGTCGCCGGCCGCAACGTCAGTTTCAATGAAGACAGTTGGACCCAACAAATTTAAACCGGAGGTTCTGTTATCGACAGCTGTCGTTTATATTCGCGACGATGCCGGTAATTTCCATAAAGTGCGTGCATTGTTGGACAATGGCTCGCAATCAAATTTTATCGCTAAGTCAGTATGTCAAAGACTAGGTCTTCAAACAAACGCAACCAAACATTCAATCTCGTGTCTAAATGTAACGGAAACACAAATCACTGAAACAGTCCAGACCACAATAGTATCGTCCAATACGACTTACGAAACAGGCTTCAATCTATTCGTTGTAAACCAAATCACACGTCCTATCCTTACCAGAGCCATCAATGTAAACTCTATTAGTCTGCCACAGCACATCGAATTAGCTGACCCGTCATTCCATACGCCGCAAGCCGTAGACATATTACTGGGAGCAACAGTCTTCTGGGACATTTTGGAAACAGATAGAATTCAGCTAGGAGCTAAACAGCCAGTGCTGCAATCTACCAAGCTGGGTTGGTTGTTGTGCGGACAAATCGGACCGCCAATCAATACCTTGTCACATACCAACGTCACTATATGTGGATTTGTGCAAAACAAGGACCTGCAGGCGCAAATAGAAAAATTTTGGCACATCGAGGACATGCCTAATGCAAGAATACTTTCTAAGGAACAATCCAAATGCGAAGACATCTTTCAGAAAGAACATCGCCGAACTGAAGACGGGCGATTCGAAGTTCCATTACTATTTCGCGAAGATCCCAGTACCTTAGGAGAGTCCAGGACTAATGCGTTAAAGCGATTGCGCGGCATGGAGCGTAAATTTCTAAGGGATCCCGAACTACAAACCCGATATATCAAGTTCATGGAGGAGTACATAAATCTTGGTCATATGTCCATGTTGCCCGTGACTGAAGGTCAGAAAATCAACTATCTACCTCATCATGCAGTAACAAAGGAATCTTCAATCACCACCAAACTTCGAGTTGTCTTTGACGCGTCCAGTCCAACGAAGTCTGGGAAGTCACTCAACGATTACTTGCTGGTAGGATCTACAATCCAACCAGAGTTGTTCGAAATCATCATACGTTTTCGATTACATTCCTACGTCTTGACGGGTGACATCGTCAAGATGTACAGACAAGTTAGAATAAAGCCGGAGCATCGAGCATATCAGTGCATACTATGGAGATCCAATCCAGAGGAACCACCCACAACGTACAGTTTAAATACTGTAACGTATGGGGTCGCTTCATCACCATTCCTGGCCATAAGGTCACTACAACAATTATCAGTCGATCATGAAAAAACATACTCTGCAGCATCGGTCATCGCCCGTGACTTCTACGTCGATGATATGATTACGGGAGCAGCCTCGGTGCAGCAACTGCGTGAAATTAAAACTCAAGTTACCGACATATTGATGACCGCAGGGTTCGAGTTGTCTAAATTTCGTTCAAACGTCTCACTTGGCCAGGACGAGCACTTGGACCACTATGGATTAACTGATGCAAAGGTTTTAGGATTACTGTGGCAGTCAAAGGCGGACTCATTGCGGTACGAAGCAACTTGCAACAGTATACCAGAAATCGTCACAAAACGTACGATGCTATCTCTAATCACGCAAATATTCGATCCGCTGGGTTTGATTGGACCAGTTACCATCAAGGCCAAAATTCTGATGCAGTCACTGTGGCAATTGAAAATCGACTGGGATACACCCATACCAGAGACACTCCGCATGATATGGTTATCATATCTTCAACAGCTGCCAAGCATCAACAAAATCGCGATACCTCGGCACGCAATTTTGCATCAACCAAGGGACATACAACTCCATGGATTCTGCGACGCTTCTCAAAGCGCTTATGGTGCATGCATCTACCTTCGATCTGTTGACGATATTGGAGCGGTTTATGTACAGCTGTTGACCGCAAAATCACGTGTGGCCCCTCTCAAAACCATTACACTTCCACGAATTATGCGGAGCTACACTTCTTGCCAACTTAGTCCAACGAGTGTCTCAAGCATTTACATGCGCAATCTCCAAACACTATTTCTGGACAGACTCTGAAGTCACACTAGCATGGATTCAAGGTGAACCATCACAGTGGCAAGTCTTTGTTGGCAACAGAGTCGCAGAGATTCAACGGCTGACTAACCAAGGGGATTGGGCTCATGTGCGTTCAGAGGACAACCCTGCCGATTTGATATCGCGTGGGATACTGTCGGAACAGCTGATTGACGCCACAATATGATGGGAAGGACCATCTTGGTTAAAGACCAATTCACTACAACGGCCGACACCGTTAGTACGACAGAAATACCTGAAGCACGCATTCAGTCGTTTACGATATGTCATCAGGATGATGCATACGACATCATCAATCGATACTCATCATTGACCAGACTCAAGAGAGTAGTCGCAATGTGCATGAGATTCAAAACGAATTGCACACAATCAAAATCAAATTCTCAGCGACTCTGCGGGCCGCTGACCACAGATGAGCTCCAACAGGCCATGACCATAATCATAAAATGTCATCAGAAGGAAGCCTTCGCTTGCGAGCTACATCACATACAAAGGAACAAGGCGGTGGATTCGCACAGTAAGATTCTTTCGCTCAATCCGGTACTCGACCAGGACGGAGTACTCCGCGTTGGTGGCCGGTTGAGGAATGCTCCACTTCCCTATACCCAGAAGCATCCAATCCTCTTATCCACTAACGGTAGATTGACAGACTTAGTTATACGCGACCTACATTTGAAGTATTTTCACATCGGTCCACAACTATTGCTGACCACTCTCCGAGAAACATATTGGGTAATACATTGCTAAAAACGCGATCAAACGAATACTAAGAACGTGTGTCTTGTGTTTCCGGTCGCGACCACGCGGCTCAATACAACTGATGGGTGATCTGCCTGCGGCTAGAGTTACTCCGTCAAGAGCTTTTCGTCACACTGGCGTCGATTACGCGGGTCTATTCTCTATTAAACTCTCGAGAAACAAATCGGGTAAGGCTTACTTGTGCCTTTTTGTTTGTATGGCTACAAAGGCAATACACCTCGAATTAGTTTCCGACCTCACGACTGAAACATTTTTGAATGCACTTAAGAGGTTTATTTCTCGAAGAGGAATTTGCGATTCTATTTTGTCCGACAACGGCAGAAATTTCCTCGGTGCAAGTAATCTACTGCGACAGATTGGTGAATTTTTGTCACACCCTGAACACCAAGCAAAGATCATCGATTTCGCATCGAATGAAGGCATATCGTGGAAATTCCTTTACCTACTAAGTTTATCTAGTTGTATTGAAGTTGTACTCCAAGGTGGCCGGAATGTTCGACTTCTTGCGAATTCTCATTAGTCACATCGTGTGACGCTAGGAGCGAGCGGTGTTAGAACAGATGATTTGGGCGCATTTCCATGTAGCGTACCGGCACGACGTTAGGCGGAGCGGTTGTTGCGTTAGAGAGACAGAGAGATACGGGAGAAGAAACATGGTGTAAGCACGGCACCACATCGGAAGGAACGAGTTACGAAAATAAAGAGCATTCTGGTTACAAGTCAACTCTGCTTAACTCACTCACACATATCCTGATACATCAGTGAACA